ATTTCTGGAATTGTTTTTTGATGCTGAAGAAGTTTTATTAACTTCCCGTAGGGAAATTTTTGCATTTCTCGACGTTTTGAAGGTTTCTGAACATTTTATTGGCATACTTCAGAAAAAATGGATGTGTGTGTGTGTGTTTTGTATTTCCGCATTTTTTTGGTCCGCGTTTTCGGGCGCACGGATCGACCGATTTGAATGGTTCAAAATACATTCGATTCCTATTGATAGGGAGATGTGCTGATTAGTTTTTGGCAAAAGCAGGTCCAACAGTTTAGGAGATACGGAGCAAAGAGTGCAGAAAATACAAATCGAGTTTTTGAGAGAACGGAGTATCGGATTTGAAGGATCTGAAAAACATTCAATTTGTAATGATTGGGAGAAGAGGTGATTAGTTTTTGGCAGAGGCAGGTCCCGCCATTTCGTAGATACATTTCTAAATGTGCAGAAAATGGCAGTTTTTGAGTGAACTAAGCGTCCGATTTGAATGATCTGAAAAACGTTCTGCTCGCATTGACAAAACAATTGCTTTTGAGGATAAAAAATTATCTTTTTTTATTTTCCATAAAATATTTTTGTAATTTTGGATTAGAAATTTAAAAAATTACCCAGGCTAAGCACAGTCTAAGCGCCACTCTGGTACAAATGTTTACCCAAGTACGTTTAGACTGTTTATGTAATAGAGCACTTTTCTAATTTTGTGGAAAACTATTGGAAAATGTGAAAATGCCGCCAAGCTAAGCACAGTATAAGTGTAAAGGTCTCACAGAATTATTTGCAAGTGCGTTTAGACTGTGACTATACGGGAGCACTTTTTCAATTTTGTGCAATGTAGGCAACTATTTTTTTTTTTTGAAATTGAATTCGAAATGAAATGACGATTGTTAATGTTCTGGAGATAAATTGATTTATGATTTACATTTGATTTGCTCCAGATATAACAAGATGGCAAAAATAATGAAAGTTACAGTATTTGTAATAATATATTTGAAAGCGTTTAAAATTTCTCGAATATTTTATTACGGTACGCGAAGTTTCAGCAATTTTCCTTAAGACACGATGCCATGCACCACTAGTTAAATTTTGTTTTCTTTACCGATATATACTAAATCACAATCTGAACAATTAATTTGCTAAACTAGATATCTAAGGGTTAGTGATTAATAATATATATATATATATATATATATATATTTGTATGTATCTGTCTTTTTATGTGGGTGTATAAATATTATTATCGTTTTCCCATGGAATCGGATTTTGTTCAAACGTCCTCCCTTAAGAATAGGTCAGCGATCTTAGTAATGACATCTTGAACAGAAAACATGGTTAATCAATTACCCACGGTCAACCTATTCGATTATCCACAACTCTCTATTCGATACACAACTATTACTATTAATAACCCTTCGGAATAATATAGAGAAATAAAAAGAAAAGGCATAATATACATTATTCTTGAAAAATAAAATACACTAAATGATAAAAGATATTTAGTGTGTACGTTTCGAGACCATTATGCGTGTCATCACTCAGCAGGACAAAATAATTACACATATAGAGAAACAATTTTTTTAAATATTACAAATGTATTAATATTTTTGCAGCATTTTTTTTTTCAATTTTATAATTCATTTTTCCCTTGTGTTTACATACAAAATAATTGAAACAAACAATGAAGACGCCTCCAAATAAAATATGGGAGTCAAATATAATTTATTCAAGAATAAATAATAGCAATTCACAAAATTAAATACATATGGAATGAAAAGATGTATTTATTTATTTTTTCAATTATTTTCTGCATTATTTTTTCATTTGCCGGAATTAATGTTGGTTTTACTTATAAATTGCTACGTGACAGGATCAACTTGGGAAAAGTAAGAAATATTGATGATAGGTATATACTAACTTGTATTTATAAGTCAGTTTTTTGTATTTATACAAGATTTGATTTTATATTCGAATCCTTGAATTTGTATGTGTTTTTGTGTAATATTTCTAATTAATTGCACAATTCAAAGCTATCCTTTCAAAGTGCATCAGACTAAGAAATAAATCAATGCAATTTTGATTTGATTAAATCTGTTTTGCAGATCCAGACTGTCTCACCGCAAATTTAATAATAACAGAATTCCATATATTTACACTTGAATTAACAATTCTCATTTGCAAATTGATTTGGAGAACTAGAAGGGAATTATTAAATTAGATAAGATACTAAGTAAAATTTATTAAGGTCAGATTTCAATTATAGTTGTATGTTATCCTGATTAATACTTAATAAGTATGAGTTCTTAAAAAATCTTTAAATTAATGGCTGTAAATAAATTTTAGAAACATTTATTAGAATGTTTATATGACTTAAAATTGATTATTTATGCAAAGATATAGTTCGTCTAGATAATTTGTATTAAAATAAAATATTGATTAATTAAACTTGAATTGAACCAACAGAATAATGAGCTTTCGAAAAAGTTTGGTTTCCCAAAAATTTATCTAGGCATATTCTTTCATTTTGAAATAGAACAAAAAATGTCGCTTAAATACATTGCTTCGTCTTATTTACTTTTATATATCTTTTTTTTTTTTTTTTTATTTTATTGGCTTTATAAACTATTTACTTTTATATATCTTATAATGTGTTTTTTTCATTCTCTAATAAATTCTGTTCAAAATTCCGCATTATTTTAATTATAATGCGAATATTATATACCGAGAAAGTTGCAATTTTGCTGAAAGTTGTTTTATTTTTATAATTTTTTTAATTGTAGAAGAATTGTATTACATCCTTGTACATTAATCATGTGTAAGTTCTCAATAATTTAACATTTGTCAAATACATAAAAACTTTTCTTTTTGTTAGTTTTATTTTGTTAGTGTATTTTTTTACACTATTTGATTTAAATTACTTCAAAATTAAACTTACGAACTTTCTATAATTAAAATATTGACAACTGACTTAGATCCTGAGATGATATAAACTATTATTTGAATAAAAAAATTAAAAAAAATATGTATATGGGACAAATAGTTAATAATTTCCATCTTTTTAGTTATTATCCGAATATTTTATACCTATAAAATTAAGAGACTTTTCAGAAATCTGTCTTATTGATCCTAATCTTTCACAGGATTCATATTTGAATTTTCTAATTCCAGCTTAATTTACTAACAAAAATATATTAGTTATAGAAATTATTCTGTACACGTTCACAAACTTTATTCAAATTTTATGTTAAACGATTCAAAATGTATCAAATCATTTTGATACCAGAAAAAAACACTTTTGGTCAATTCTTCTATGTTTCAACTAACCCCTGGTATGATTTTTTAACAATAATTAAAATAACTATTTCAATAATTTATTAATCACCAAAGTTGTTACATTTTATCAAAGATTGATAAATTTAAAAGAAATCAAGATAAATAAAATTTAAATTTATTCAATAATTATAACCCAGACCGAAATTTTATAATAGTACAATTTTACACTGCCTGACAAAAATGACGCACCTGCACACTTCTGTTTACTGCGTCAGCTTGCGAGACATTATAAATTATTAAATCTTATGATAGTACAATTTTACACTGCCTGACAAAAATGATGCTCCTGCACACTTCTGTTTACTGCGTCAGCTTGCGAGAGATTATTATTATTATTATTATTATTATTATTATTATTATTATTATTATTATTATTATTGAAGTAAAACTTCTTTAGGCGCGATATGGGTGTAAAAATTTTTAGGCGCGACACGGGTGTAAATCCGTACAAATGCAACGAAAATGCCAACGTGTAGTTGAACACTACGACGCCGTAAGCGCTGATGTCGCGAGTATCCACTCATATCGCGTCATGTCATGCGTAAGTCGAGCGCTAAACCCTATATGAACTTGCATTAATGAATCACGTTTTTTATGTTATGTCCTCATGGAATAAGACTTGTCTTAGAGAATAAATGTGCCATGGAATATAATAAATTTATATTGAATCTCGTTGAAGACAAAATAATATCTACTGCCACGGATATTTATGTAGGTTGCCATGCGACAGATCAACAATCATACATTCGTCAGCAGTTTCAAAAAAATCGGTTATTGATACCGGGGCTTTGCCGTATGAAATAATTTTAGTTCGGAATAAATTTTACATAATAACAACTAATATTGATGTAAGTGATGGCTTAGCTAATGGTTGTGTGGGAAAATTAGTGTACATAGAACGTGGCGATAATGATGAACTTCTACGTTTATGGTTTGAATTTCCCGGTAAGATAGGTAACAAAATTAGGAAGAAAGCTTCACATCATATTCAAACTCTTGATATCAGTAGGACAGCTGTGCCGATGCTCAGGAGATCTTATTATTATTGATGTTATATGATTATTAAAAGATGATTTTTAAAATTCAAATATGATGTTTTTTTTTATTTTTATCTTAATTGCCTACTCATACAATATTAAAAGTTTTACTTCAATCGCGTGTGATCCTTACGCGCACTCTTTTTTTTTTATATTATTATTTCTAGTATTGTTGTTTTGTTATAGTTATTATTATCTGTCACTATTTGTTTTTATTCCACTTTATTGTTTTTCTAGTATTATTCAGAAATTTTATTTATTTTGCTTTTATTTTATATTAAATCATCATACTACGGATATCATTTTAATGAAAATACTATCCTCTATTTTGTATTTATTTTTTAATTTAAATTTATGTTATTGGTCATCATTGTTACTAGATGTTAAATTATTTTGCAATTGTAACAAATATAGGGTAAAAAAAATTCTAATATTATTTAAGATCTTTTCTAAAAACGCCTGTTACTATTTACCCCTAATACGATAAACTAAAAGAGGTATATAAACAAAATTACTTCTTTATTATACAAAAGTTCAAATCAGAATATTTACAAAAAACGGATATATTAAAGATAAATAGTATGTAAGACGTTAAAATTAAGTTTTTTTTATATATTTTTTTAATTTATGAAAGATCTTCTATTCAGTGTCGACTCTTATTACTCTAATCCTGTTATTATTGACAAAAAGACAAGCTGCCTCATTGTCTCCTCCACAATAATGGGATGACGTAAAAACTGTTATCAGATGACCAGAATATTGTATCTAAAATAGAAAAAATATATAAATTATATAGATTAAATATTACATTATACATAGATTAAATATTATTATTATATATATAATTAAATAGATGTTGAATATTACTAATAACAATGGATAAATGCAAAGTGATGACAATGGACGAAAAACTTTATTAAAAATTTGGCTGGTTCGAAATTCACTAATAGCGTATATTTCTTTGGATGGAGTCATTATATATATAATAAAATTGTAAGGTTATAATTTGAAAATTTTAATATAAATATGTCTTCAGGGTATAAGAGAGATGATGTAACTATCTATTAATGCAAATTATCAATACATTCTATCTAATGATGCATTTTTGCAATTGGCGGTTCGAAAATGATAGTAATGTTTTGACAATATTTAGCTCGCTTGAAATTTATTTGAAAGCTCTGGTTTCATCAGCAAAGTTTTTTTTAATGATCCATAAAAACAGAAATGCAAAGTGCCCTAATAGCTAGCAAAACAGATATCTAAATATCTTTTACAATGTATTCACTAAAGTCAGTAGATTCATATAGGTTGTTTAACTGCTCCTAAAATGCTGGTCCAATTTTGATAAAACTTTTTATAGGTTAGGGTTTATACAAAAACCGTCATTTTAGAAAACCGGTTTAAAAAAAATAAATTTTTGCTCGAATATTTAGTAATTTATCCGCAATTTTAGTGTAATTTAGAGCAGTATTTGACTGAATTTATTTATTGTTCAATTTTGTAGACAGTAAACAAAATTATTTTAGTTTTAATTAGTAGAACTAAAGGATAATAGTTTATCTTGATTAAATATCTTTGAAAATAATCACATATAAGAATGAAAATATTTTTATGATAGTGAAAGGAAAGTTTTCGAATAAATAAAAATAATACATTTTTAAATAAAAAAATTCATTAAATTAAAAAAAAAATGAGATACATGTTGATACATACTTGTTAATATCAATTTTAGTTTTAAAAACAATTAGCTAAACTCGAGTATTGTCTGTTCCGAGCAATTTTAATTAATTAATTTTACACATTCTAATTGTTTTTTTGTTTAATAAAATATGCTTTCAAGAAACTGAGAGCATCTATCGAATTCCTCACAAATATTCCTGAAATAGAAAATACTCTCATACTTGCGACCAAATTATGTTTAATTGTTTTTAAAGCCTGATATAATAATTCTAAGTTTTTTGTTCTTTAATTTGTGGCTTCTAGGGTTTAAAACTCTTTTTTTTTTTAAGTTTGAGTAGAGGAAGTTACTTCTTCAAGAAGAAGTCACACTGATTTAAATTAATATATACACTGGTATAAAAAACTAAACTAATATATACAAAACCTTTCTAGGAACCATTGCAGACTGATAAGATATCAAATGCTCATGAACCGATATGATTTTAAGAATCAGTACGCTTCGAACTATATTTTATATTTGGGTATATTTGTCATTTTACATTTATACAGTGAAAACCGACTTTTTTCACTAAAAAACTGGTTTTCGAATTCCATAATTTTCGCCAAAAACCGCTTTTGAAAACCGACAAATCCTAATACAAATCCTTCAATTGTTAAAAAGGATAATGTTCTATCAAATTGTTCAATATTTCAGATCTTATTATGCACCTTTGAACTTGGCAAGCGATGACAAAATAAAATATCAATATTAGGAAATCAAAAAGAAAGAAGTTTGTTGAAATATTCGCTATATCAAAATTCACTTGCATGTTGTGGTTTTTCTGCCAGAGTTTTGTTATTGATCCAAAAAAACAAAATTACAAATAGCCAATAGCCAGGAAAATAGATACATTTTACAAAATATTGATTGAAGTCAATAAATCCACACAGATCGTTGAAACGGCCGGTTCAATTTCGATAAAAAAAGATACTTGTGATTTAACTACATTGTTAGTGAATGAGTCAAAACCGCAAATCGAGAATATTATAGATCGATGGCAAATGAAAAATGTTATATGAACACATTTTTGAATTACTGAAATATCTCAAACGGTTCTCAAAATATCGCATTTTTCATTTTCTCGACTTTTATAGATTTTTAAGGTTCTGCGCATGGCGAAAGCAAGATACTTGTGATTCAATTACATTCTTAGTGGACGAGTCAAAACTGCAAATCGAGAATATAATAGATCGATGGCAAATGAAAAATGTTATATGAACGACTTTTTGAATTACTGAAGTATCTCAAACGGTTCTCAAAATATCGCATTTTTCATTTTCTCGAATTTTATAGATTTTTAAGGTTCTGCGCATGACGAAAAATATATACTTGTGATTCAATTACATTCTTAGTGAACGAGTCAAAACTGCAAATCGAGAATATAATAGATCGATGGCAAATACAAAAAGTTATATGAACGACTTTTTGAATTACTGAAGTATCTCAAACGGTTCTCAAAATATCGCATTTTTCATTTTCTCGAATTTTATAGATTTTTAAGGTTCTGCGCATGACGAAAAATATATACTTGTGATTCAATTACATTCTTAGTGAACGAGTCAAAACTGCAAATCGAGAATATAATAGATCGATGGCAAATGAAAAATGTTATATGAACGACTTTTTGAATTACTGAAGTATCTCAAACGGTTCTCAAAATATCGCATTTTTCATTTTCTCGAATTTTATAGATTTTTAAGGTTCTGCGCATGACGAAAAAAAGATACTTGTGATTCAATTACATTCTTAGTGAACGAGTCAAAACCGCAAATCGAGAATATAATAGATCGATGGCAAATAAAAAATGTTATATGAACATGTTTTTGAATTACTAAAATATCTCAAACGGTTCTCAAAATATCGCATTTTTCATTTTCTCGAATTTTATAGATTTTTAAGGTTCTGCGCATGACGAAAAAAAGATACTTGTGATTCAATTACATTCTTAGTGAACGAGTCAAAACCGCAAATAGAGATTATAATAGATCGATGCTAACTGAAAAATGTTACATAAATATATTTTTGAATTACTAAAATATCCTAAATAGTTCTCAAAATATCGCATGTTTTTCACATGATGAGCCAACAAAATTTACAATCGGTTCAGCAGTTTAGGAGTACATCGTGACAAGTACTTTATAAATTTCTATTTTTGCTTACATAAAATCCTGTCTTTTGCATCTCGTGTGCTCGGACAACATGAGACAAACTGTTGACAGATAGAAATCTGTCCAGAGCTGCCTGGTTAAAGACATGGGCGGTGCCTCTTCTGGTGTTATTGGCAAAGCCATCACTGTTAGTCGTATCTACAAAAGCGTCTGCTCCTCTGGTCCTGGAAAAAAATTATAAGACGATAAATTATTTTGTGAAATAATAATCATTGAAGACAAATTCTAGAAAAGTATGACGAATAATAGAAATAAAAATGTTTATTTTTTATTATCCTTACTTGATAGGGTCGTTCCACATAAGTTCCCAAGCAAGTTGACTTTGTTCATCAGGGTTTGTTAAAGGGATTGGTATATCATTGATGGTCGCAATTACAGGGCACAACCAAGGGGGCGGAATCCCTCCGTGGACGCAGAAAATCTAATAAAAAAATAGTAATGAAATTTAAAACAATTCAGTGAGAGATTGGATAAAAATTAACAAATAAATATATTCGAATTTATTAAAAATTGAGTATTTTTAAACATAAACGTAAACGACTCGAGAAACTAATAACAAATAGTATATTGTTTTTTCATCAAGCTAATTTTATTTAGGTTGGAGAAAGTATTTTTATTTATTGATCTTTTAATTTTTATTCATACTATTTAGTTGATAAATCGTCTTAATTATCTAAATTTTTATCTTTACCTTACTGTCTATAACAGCTGCTATAGGCATTGCATCAAAAACGTTATTTATGGCATTCCATAAATCTTTTCCCAATGTATCGCCAAACTTTTGTACACATTCTCTGAAAAAAATATATATATTTCAATAATTCCAGTATAATAATTATAAATTTTTTGAATCCCTAGTTCAATGATATTTTTAGTATGTGATTTAAGAGCAAAAAATCACTATTTGTGATATGAAGATGTTTAGTATTGATCTTTTTACATCAAAACAGAAGCTACGAAAAAGTAATTGTTATCTGTGCCAACTCATGTATAAAATTCTTGAAATTTAAAAATCCAATATTTTGAGAACCGTTTAAGATATTTCAGTAATTCAAAAATACGTTTTCATAACATTTTTTATTTGCCGTCGATCTATTATATTCTCCATTTGCGGTTTTAACTCGTTCACTAAGAATGTAATTGATTCACAAGTATCTTGTTTTCGTTACGCGCAGAACCTTAAAAATCTATAAAATTCGAGAAAATGAAAAATGCAATATGTTGAGAACCGTTTGAGATATTTTAGTAATTCAAAAAGTAGTTTATATAACATTTTTTATTTGTCGTCGATCTATTATACTCTAGATTTGCGGTTTTAACTCGTTCACTAAGAATGTAATTGAATCACTAAAAGTTTTATTTTTGACGCATTTCAAATAAAATCTATTAACTTCTAGAAAATTAAAAATGCAATATTTTGAAGATAATAATATGGAAATACATAATTCAAGGAGTTATTGTAATAAAAAATAATTTTAAGTTGACTAATTGACTAAAAAAAGTTATATTGTAAATAGAATCTAACCAGAATAAAAAAGTCAAAAGTAATAACTTCAGTTTTTTTTAAAGTTTGCTTCATGAATAATAAATTTAGATTTGTAATTTTTTTTCATATTACATTTTAAATTAGATTAATAAAATAACGTACTTAAGTTGGTGGTAAGAATATGTAGTTAAAATAAGGCTTCATATGGTCTTGTTTAATTGTGAATCAATTTTAAAAATCTTATGTAGTCTGATGCCAAATTAATATTTTTAGAATTATTGTAAAATCTCAAAACATTGCATTTTAGAAAATCGCAAAATTATAATAAATTTTATTCATTGAAAATTGTTAAGTATATTATTAATTATTACTTATATTATGTTAACTTACGTATAAAATGTGAACATTTTTTGAACATCTCTAACTTCGTGATTTCCTCTCAGTAATTTGATTTTTGCTGGATTTTGCAATTTATATGCAAACAGATAAGCAACCACCTTGAAATTAAAAAAAAACATACATTTTTAATTTATTTACTTTAAAAAAAGTTAAATTTTATTCACTAACAGTTACAATAAATAATAATATAAATAAATTATAATTGTATAAGTAGCTCAACAAATTTTGATTAAAATAATTTGATATGAAAAGAGATCTGTTAGGCAAATTACGCGAGTAAAAATGATTCTGTTGCTCTAATTTAAATTTTTAAATATTAATATTAATAAGATTTTCAAAAAATTAATGATTTTTTTTATTAATTTATTATCTATATTTCTAATAATTACCTCAACCCCATGAGGGCCTCTATCAACATAGTCTCCTAAAAACAGGAGCGTACTCGGACTTAATGCAGGCCCTAAATTCCACAAAACACGTTCGAAGCCTAAAAGATCCGGTAAATTTCCATGCAAATCACCTGAAATAATAAAAAAATATAAAAGTAAATTCAACCATTACTTCATGGCGGGCTCAGTAAAGTAATATAAAATTTAACTAGTGGTGTATGGCATCGTGCTTTAAGGCAAATTGCACGAACTTCCCGTACCGTAATGAAATATTCGTTAAATTTTAAACGTTTTCAAATATATTATTACAAATACTGTAACTTTCATTATTTTTGCTATCTTGATATCAAATGTAAATCATAAATCAGTTTATCTCCAGAACATTAACAATCGTCATTTCATTTTGAATTCAATTTAAGAAAAAATAGTTGCCTAATTTACACAAAATTGAAAAATAGTCACAGTTTAAACGCATTCTGTGCGACATTTTCACTTATACTGTGCTTAGCTTGGCAGCATTTTCACATTTTTCAATAGTTTTCACAAAATTGGAAAAGTGCTCCAGTTTATAAACAGTCTAAACGCACTCGGGTGAACATTTGTACCAGAGTGGCGCTTAGACTGTGCTTAGCCTGGGTCATTTTTTGATCCAAAATTACAAAAATATTTTATGGAAAATAAAAAAAGATGTAATAATTTTTTATCATCAAAAGCAATTGTTTTGTCAATACAAGCAGAAAGTTTTTGAGATCATTCAAATCGGACGCTTAGTTCACTCAAAAGCTGCCATTTTTTGCACATTTAGCTCTGCATCTTCGAAATGGCGGGACCTGTCTTCGCCAAAAACTAATCACCTCTTCTCCCCATCATTACAAATTGAATGTTTTTTAGATCATTCAAATCGAATACTCCGTTTTCTCAAAAACTCGATTTTCATTCTTCTGCACTCTGTGCTCGGTATCTCCGTAAGGATGGACCTGCCTTTGCCAAA